ATGAAGCCCATTGAAGGGGCGGAGTGTGGGCAGAGCAGGCCTTGGAAGAGAGAGAAAACGGCAGGAGGAAGGAAGCAGGCAAACGGCAGTGCTGCGTGGGCCAGAGCTGGGAGGGGTGGCGGGGGAGGCCGGAGATGTATAAACGGCGCTGGCTTCCCCAGGCTGACAGGATGTGGTCTGCAAAGGACGTTTACAACAACACGAAACCACAAGAGCCTTTGCTTCAACAGACCCTGAGGAGGGACGTGCCCTCCTGGCTTGGCTCCGCTCTCTGAGAAGCCTCCCCTGCCACCACAGCCAGCCTCACCCTTTTCCTCCTGTCACGCTGACCGCTGGGGCCCTCTCGCACCCCCTCGTCCCAGACGGCGCTGGGCTTCAGCTGCGCCATGGCTTTGCTAGCTTTCTCGCAGCTCTGGGGGGGCAAAGCGTGGAGAGGTCGAGGCGGGAGGAGGAGGAGGACCCTGATTGCAAGAGCTGCCGGTAAGAGAAGCAGCTTGTGGCAGAGCTGGGAAATCACCCAGGGGTCTCCCAAGCCCCAGTCCCCTGGGCAAAGCACCTTTCCCTTGGGCTCAGGGGACTGGGAAGTCAACGCAGAGCTTCTCGGCAATGAGTCCCAGGGGACAGGATGTGGCAGGCTTGGTCCTGGGTGCAGTCACAGAAGCCACCACCAGCACCAGCCCCTGTAGCCCCTTTGTCAGCAACCTGAGCAGACAGGCAGCACCGTGGAGACTGAACCCCCTTCCTGCACCTACCAGTGCCTCCTCCACTTCAAGGCTTGAGGTGCACTGATCGGGCAACAATGGGGTGAGGGGAAAGAAAGAGGAGGGAAGTGGGGCCTGCCGTCCCTGACTCTGCTGGGCATAACCTATGGCTGACGAGGCCTTCAGTGTCCGCGGCTGACAACACAGCACTAATATGCACACAGAGTCCTCAGCCCCTGTGGATACAAGGACCAAGACAGGAGCCCATACGCAGTCCATCCTCAGTAGCTCCTGCTGGAAAATGCTGCCGTCTGGAGACATAACACAAGACTCCTCCTCTTGCGGCTCACTGCCAGCTCCCTTGCCTCTGGAGGTGCCAGCGGATGAGAAGTCAGATCCGAGAATCCAATGAAACTCTCCCATGAGTTACTGAGACACCTCTCCTCTTCCCTCCCAGCTCGAAATCCTCCGTTTGGACAGGTTAGGCTTGTTGTCATGATCATTTCACTAGATCCAGTGCCCTGCAGTCTTAGACCAGGCACCACCAACTGCTGGGACTTGGGACATGAACTCTTCGTGGGGCACAGCTAAGGAGCCAATGACATTTATAACCAGCTCATACAGGGTTAAGAGATGCCTATTATGTTATAAACTGACTGCAGCTGCAAGTAACCTGTGTTACAACATCCCGGGAATGAGGCTGTAGATGGTTATAAACCACCTATTGATTTGCTGGAGTCTATAATGATTAATCATTAATTAAAACACCTATTAATCATATATAAACTATTTATAAAAGTACCCTTAATACAAAAAGTGCACGACGGCAGTTCTGGGCTGAACTCTTGGCATTTCCATGCTGGCTTGGCTAGAAGTTAGAGATGGGCCAAAGCCAAAACCTCAAAGTCCAACTTCCACCCCCACCCTCAACCCCAATGTCAGGAAGTCTGGTAACCTCAAGCCCACCCACGTTTTCCAGCCTGAGCCCCCCCATCAAGAGTAAACAGACAAACACAAAGCTATAGCTTGCCCCTGGTACAAGACGACCCAGCACCTTGGAAAAACCAGGGGATGTCCATTGCAAGCTTAGCTACAGCACGTTTGCAGACTGGAGCACCCACTCCCCAAATTCCTTTCAAAAGCACTGTCTAAGTGTGCTGACAGGGGACAGAGGGGGGGATGAGGACTATTCCTGAAGGAAGGTAGTGTTACCAGGCACAACAGCAATGGGATGTCTTCTGTGGTTTGTATCTTCTTGGGAACGGACCCCTGCCCCCCTCTTGGAAGCTGCCCCAGAGCTCCAGAGACGTGGTTTGTACCCAGGCAGCCTTGGCATTCATGCCCGCACCCCAGGCTACAATACAGAGGCACCACATTTAAGCCTCCCTAATCGACAGTGTGAACCTGGTCTTTCTGATGCCGCTCACTGGCATTCAAGCAGCGAAGAGAGTTTGCAGCCCCGAGAACAGTCTGCAGGTGCCAGCCAGGGTATGCATTTAGGCAGCTTTCGCTGGCTGCTATGGGATGAAAAGGAATTGCTTTACCTCCAGGATGAAGGGCAAAATTGGGATGAAAGTCCGGGTGTTCTCCGACAGCAGGGTGAGGGCACGAATGCAGTGCATGCGCAGGGGGTAGAAACGAGCTGTGGGCACCAGTCTGGAGAAGGAAAGGAGGAGAGGTTATTGGGCAAGGTCAGCTGGGAGGGAAGTGAACCCAAGAACCTCCAGGACTGGAGACTTGGGCCTTTCACAGGTCTGTTGCTCCCTTTAGCTTCCCCCCCAGAAGTGCCCAGAGATACTCTCCTCCCAAGCTAAGGATCTCACATGTCCCTGAACTGGGGTCTTCCAGAGACTCTGCACCATGTGCATTACAGAGTAGCATCCCCTTGTTGTTCCCAGAGCCCTTGCTGAGGTCTAACCCACCCAACTGTCACGTTATTCAGAACTTAAAGATGCACAGGTCACTCGACCAACATAAACACTATGTAGTCTTTGCCTCGAGAAGCCTATGAGCAAGCTAAGGTACTTGGGATGCATTTACAGTGGGTACAGTACCAACCAAGCCATGTGGGACAGAGTAGGAAGAGCAGGTGACAAACCAAGGGAGCATTAGCTGCATTGCATGTTACACTGCAGTTTTTTGTGTTGTCTTCTCTTCTTTTGCAGGTGGGTAACGGGCACCAGGAAGCCCAGGTAAGCCTACACAGCAAGGCTGGAAGGAGGGGTATCTTGCATTTGGGGCATGGTGCAGGGGATGGAGGAAGCCATGCATTCCACCGGCAGGCACCACACCGCATGCCCGCACCCCCAGGGAAATGCCCCTGGTCCCATGGAAGCAGCCTCACTTCCAGGCAGCTTGGGCACCAGCGCCACAGACAGTCTCTCGTGCCATCTAATCGATCCATTACCTACTGCCACAGAGCACCGCCAGCGAGAGCGAGGACTTGGAACGAGCAGCAGGAAAGGGCGGGGAGTGGGGGAGCTCACCCACACGATGTTTGCACTTCCTCCAGACATGTGTTTTATGTTTGCTTTATTTATGCTAAGTACTCTGGTCTGACTGAATCTTTGGAGGGTCTGAGGGACACACCATGCCCACATTTAGGAGGTGCCGTAGCATGTGCTGATGTGTCAACTCTCCTTCACAGCCACCGCTGTACCAGGAGAGGTGCCACTGGCAAGACTGACTGCAAGGGTGCTGCAGCCGGCTGTATCGCAGGACACTGAGCTGTTTCACTATTGCCCCACTGCTCCCCCCACCGGCCTTAGGCTGTAACGGGGATTTGAGGGCCAAGTGTCAGTTGTGTGCATACAGGATCCAAAACAATCAGGGGCTCCTGCAATACTGAGAATAAGCAGACTGATGCAAACAGCTCCTTCTGAACAGGGGTAGCACTTAGCACCACCCACATGAGCCCAGAGCATGTTACCACTCAAAGCTGCGTTTGCCCCATGACAAGTAGCTAGGTCTTCTCCCTGCAGTGCTCTTGGGAGAGGAGGGGTGGACCAAGACACAGAAAACAACAGGCTGACCCCTCTCTGGCCCACCTAAACTCCCACTACACACAGACTGGAGCAACCTGAGCTGGCACACACGACAACCTGCAACCAGCAGCTGGACACAAAGAGAAGCCACTTTGCCTGGAGTCCCTTCAGCCAGCAGCAGAGCTGGGAGTACAGAGCCCACCTCTTGTGAGCTAGCAGCTTTGAGCAGGAAGCCTGCCTGGGACCAGCCACAGCCCAGAGGCCACGTTACCAATAGATGCTGATGCTTTCAGTGCTGACCAAGGGTTTTTTTTTAAAACATAGCCTCCAGCTTAGAGTCTGAAAAGTGAACCCAAAAAAAAATAAAGGAGCCTGCTGAACAGCCCAGGAGAGAGAAACTGCATCGCTGGGCCACATAAATCAGCCCCTTCTCCTCCCCCCTCCACCAAATAGTGAAATAATTATCATTGGATCCATTATGGAAATAAATCTACTTTGCACCCTCAATCTGGCACCGCTGGAGATGACGAAAGCCTTCTTCAGGAATTAATTGATCGAGGGATAAACCTGTTAGAGGTATAGATTTACTGTAAACCAAGACCATTAATTTCAGAGTGCTTCGCAGCGCAGCAATCTGCCTAACTTCCCGATGGCTGGGACGCACGAGGAATGAGAAACGCCGCGGGGCCCGAGGGCCGGCGGTGCGGGAAGAGGGCTGGCTGCCTCGTCACTTGGGGCCCAGCCAGAAGGCCATGGCTATGTGTGCTGTTCCTCCTTGCCCAGCCTCCCCTGGGCAGCAGGGTGTGCGTAGAGCCATTTGAAGCTGTGCAAGGAGTATTTTTACTAGCTGCAGTTCCCTTCAGTTAAGTTCCCTGGTGGCCCCAATTTTCCTCTGCTGGGGAGCTGAAGGAAGCTCCTTCCAGCATCCAGATTGCTCAGCCAAGGGTGGCTGCTCCCAAGTCGCCAGGGCATCCCCCTGCCCCATGGGGCAGAGCACACGCGCAGGCTGAGAGCCCACAGGCTGACTTCTGTGGGTTATCACTCCTGCTGGGAGCAGGGCAGGAGGGACCTGATGGATGGAGAGCCCTATGGCAAGGAGACCCTGGATGGTGGGATGAGCTGAGTAGAAAGGTGCAAGTAAAAGGATGAGCCCAAACACACTGGGACTGGGACAGGGCTGGTGAGGGAAGCACGAGATGAGGAAGGATTTGGATGCACTGGAGTGGAGCAGCTCCTCTTCCCACATGCTAGTGTCTTGTTCCCCACAGCAAACATCCAGCTACACCCCCATCTGTGAGAGCCAAGGAAACTAGCTTCCCCAAGCAGCTCTGTCAAGCACCGCAGCTGACCAGCCCCTCTCCCCGCCAGCCCCCACATCACCTCCCTGCCTGCGAAGTGCATCCCACCTGCTCCCAATCACATGCCCATTCCA